CATGGCTACAACCAACACCTGTGGAAGACCAGGAACTTGCTCATGTACAGGCACACAAATCTCTCATTAGAGGCCTGTGTCAAAATGCAATGAATCAAGATGCAAGGGTACTATTAGAAAGTGATAGGAGACATCAGGGAGGAGATTATGGAAATCATATGGAAGAGGATGGATTGGCACAGACTGTTCAGGGGTGAGAATCCTGAAGAGAGTGACGATGAAGATGACAATGATGACAATGACGGCGGCAGAGCCAACAAGAGAGAAGATGGTGACAGTGATAACTGAAAGGACTGGGAAATAAACAGGGGAAAGGGGGGAGTCAGGAGTGAGGTTGTGTCATTGTGACAAGCAAGGGTGATGGTGATGGACAAGGGAGTGTGCAGACATGTGGGAGTGCGATGCAGATATTGTGATGGGAATATGCATGATGTAATCACAATTATGTGTTTTGGACTGTCAAGTGAGCCATAGGGGCCAGAGGACCTGTAGATTGGTAGAGTATGGCAGCAAGAAGCTCCCACAGGCACCACAGGTGCTGGGGGCAGCCCCGGGTACCCCCGGGGTGGATAAACAGACCCCCCCCAGGCCCTGGTAGACTTACCGCCAGGAGCACGAGTGGAGTCAAAGCCAGAGCCACAGCCACAGCCGCACAAGCCGGCGTTATGCCGGCTCTTTAAACAGCTGCTCCTGAGGTGGGGCAGTGCCAGGCTAATTGCGGCAGCTGAGGACACCGCCATGGGAAGTTTAAGAGCCCCGCCAGAAGCTGGCAGTGGCAAAGGGGAGAGAGAGAGAGGGAACCAGCAGGGAGCATGCCAGACAGGCAGCACCGGCGGCTCCAGAGGCTGGCAATAGCAGCCTGTCAGACACTGCTCTGCTACAAAGGCGGGGCGGGGCAGTGTCAGACATCAGGCTGGGGACAGACAACCCCCAGCCCCGCAATCTCAGAGCTTAGAAGGAGCGCCTCTCTCCCTCAGAAGGGAGAAAAGGACGCCAAAACACCAAGGAGAGCAGTCCTTGGGGATCAGGGGCTGTGGCTCCAGACGCACTGACATCTAGGTGACCTGACGGTTGCCTGAAGCTGACGCCAGACCCCGATGACAAGGAAGAGGGGGTCTTACAGAGATTGGCGGAGCAGCAAGGCAAACAGCCAAGCGGTTGGCGAGTGGACAGGGTGTAGGGGAGGCGGAGCCCCGAACACCGCAGGGTGTGGTGTGAGAGGGGCGCTCCTTTCAGTCATCACTGTCACCATCATCTTCTCTCTTGTTGGCTCTGCCGATGGGGTGTGAGTACCCCCATCATCGGGTCACCTGGGAAGAGAAACACCACTGAACCCCTCCTTCATCAGGTAACAGCAAGTCGTGGCAGGAGAGCTGGGGGGCACCCCGACCAAAGGAGGTGGTAAGGTACTCATAGCGCCCACTAGAGACACCACATAGAGGTACTGTGGTATTTTAAACAAAAAAAAGCCTTTATGTCTGCTCTTACTTTACAGTAAGCCAAACCACAATAATTCATCCCATTTTCACTGAGGGCAAAGCTTTCTCAGTTTAGGTCTTACTTGCCATGGAGTTAGAGTGGGCAGATGCGGTTACCTGTGGTAAAGCCCAGCTTCCTGTTTACTCACCTTATTTGTTGTTCATACCCTTATATAAATAACAAACAGTCTTCTTACACTCATAATTAACTAATTATAAGTAAACTAGTTAGTTCTACCTCTGTTAAACTCTGAAACCTTTTCAATACTGTGTTGAAGAGACTGTATTTAAAACTGTATTTAAACCAGCTTCTGTTTGTCATCACATGTACTTGCTGTCTCCAAAATAAAACTAATAATTTTGCACCATTATGATGGTTTTCACTGAAAGGTATTAAAGCACTTGGCATACACTGGTGGGAGGGGGGGAATAGAAAATTCATCATGATTAAACATTAGTCTTTTTATTTTCCATGCATTTTAATAGCTTTCCTTGGCAGTATTTACTAATGATGAGAGATTATAGAAATGCTTTTGCTTTCCAGCCTGTCATATTTGATATATCTCTGAAAAGCCAAAATACTAAATGTGACATCAGAAAAAGCTGATGAAGGAGCAGCTTTTATCTGAAAATAAATATTTTCAACATTAAAAAGTATAGAAATTACATTTTGTGAAATTGTGTTCTCTCCCCGTGTATTTACCTTGGAATCTCAGGCCTCTTTAATAGCCAGGGCAAGATTCTCAACTGGTGAAAATCAGCATCACTTCATAGCTTCAAAGGACTGACACAAATTCATACCATTGAGGATCTGTCCCCCAGAACAAATCTTCCTGACGTAATTTCAGCTTTAGCCCTATCTAACTAATGTTGAAATCAGAAATTAATTGCTGAAGAGCTGAAACTGCCTCAGTACTTCAAGTCCCTATTAATTTATAGGATTTTAATTATTCATAGTACTCCAGAAACATAACTTTTTCTTGCATTTTAATCAGTTTCTAGCAATACATAAAATATTCATAGTTGTAAGATATTTATATGATAACAGGCATGACCCATGGTACAATGGATACACATGCAACATCAGCATGAGAAATCTAACCTTTTCATTTTACCTTTTAAATTTATAATCACCATCTAATCATCATTCCTACTGGCTGGGGCTCAGTGTTGTAGGAAGTGCAGTTCTTCTGCTTAAAATGAAATTGTACCTTTTCCAGATTAGCTAACTCAGGATGTTTCCAGTTCACCAAGATACTTACACACACATTTAACCTCAGTGGTGCTCAACCTGTGGCCCACAAAGCCATGTCGTCTGGCTCGTAGGGCTCCCCATGGGTCTGGACATTTGGCAGTGAGGGAGTGGTAGCAGCATTAATTGCTCCTACATTTGCAGCAATGCTGGATTCAGCCTACAAACCAACCCTGTGCATCGGATCTGGCCTGTGGACTAGTCCCACATCAATCATCTGGCGCAGAAGGCTGGATAAATTGAGTACCACTGGACTATACAACTCTTTAATCTGTATTTAAATGTTATAGCCCTGATAATTCTCTCTCTGTAAGACATTCACCAGGCTGCTATTTTGTACCCACAAGCTAGGCTAGGGCTTTTAGCCTTCCTTAAAATAAGGCCAAACTCTGTGCCACATTTCTTTGCAATTGGCTCCCTGTTAAAGGTTTATGGAAGCAGGACATTGCAGCTGAGCTGCTCTTGGCCACCAGGATCCAGGCATACCCCTTTCTAGATATGCTAACTGCTTAATCACCTGCCTAAGCTCCTTGCTGTTTTCAGCGAGGTCTGATAATCTCTCCTTAGTGCAAGGTATAAAGCTCAGCCATCTCCCTGGCTCATGCTTTCCCAGAGGGTATGGAAGACCCCCTAATTCAGCAGCATAACAAGGGATGGGTGACTGGAGCAACAGACCTGGGCACCTAATTAAGGGGGTGCAAGGTACTGCCTCTGATGCAACCAGTCCAGGGCTTGCCACTGCTGCTACCCAAGGTGCAGACCTTGATAGTTAGACCTCTACCTTGACAGGTAGGAGAAAGAGTCAGCTGGATGTGGTTCCACGAGAGCAGAAGACAAATTTATAAAGAGATGAATTCACAAGCCTGAAGTGGTCTTGTCTTTTCCACAGAGCTCCTTCCTCAGCAGAGATCCCCTTTAAAGGAGAAACCCACAGATGTACAGCTCAGTCACCATAGTATTGTCAGGTAGAGCGGGAGTGAGAGCAGCAGGGTCCAGAACTGCACTCCACTGGAGGAATGGAGCATATGGTGACTTGCCTTGGTCTCCCACAGACCCCAGCACCCTGTGAGGTTTCTGGGCCTTGACAGGAGGCACACCATGCCCAACCACACAATATGATGGAATTTCTGCAAGGAGCTCTGCATACGGGTGTCTTCCCTCTGAGACCTGTTCCCATTCAGGTGGTGATTTGGCCTATTATTACCATATAGGGATTTTTGAGGTTCCATCATTTATAGTATGCCATATAATTTAAAGCCATTGTTAAAGAAACACGCAACCTAGAACACTTGATTTCCAACTTGCTATTTTGTTGGCAGGTCTCTCTATTCTAATTACACAGGATGATGTGCTGCTAATGGCCATAGGGTGGAAAACTGCCAAAGCAATAGCCCCTATCCACCATTCTCCTTCATGAGTGGTCCTTATCTATATTTGATAGCACTACTGCCTATTTACTGTCATCTTCTTTTGGTGCAGGAGAGAAGGAGACAACTCTACACTCTCAGTCAGCTAACAGACAAGTTCCTTTCTATATGGAGGTAAATCTGCTGTTCAGAAGTTTCCCACATAGATTCTTAATTGTCTGTGAAACTCTCCCTCTCTCTCTCTTTACAGCTTACTATCACTAGGTTTCACCCCCTTGGCCAAATCCACACATAGTGTGGACGTTTAATTCCCCAGGGACAACTAGCAGCAGTGCACCTTGTGCCACTGCTAGTTGTCCCCAAAGAAAGCTCATGCCACGTGTGCTCCAGAGCATGACAAGCTACCCCAGGAGAAGTAGGGGAGGCCAGGGCCAGCACTGAGCTAGCCCCAGCAGCCTTACCTAGGATCCTGGGGGCCTCCTGGGGCAGCAGCAGCAGTGGCGATTCTGCTGCACGGAGCCTGGCTGGCAGCAGGAGCAACGCAACTTCAGCAGGCCTGGCTCTGCTTTTGAGCAGCATGCACTTTACCTGTGTGCACCGCTCCACTTTTTTTCTCTGTGGGTTTTTTGGACCCCTGGATATCCAGAGGTCAAAAACCCTCTGCACTGCAAGCATGGAGAACATGCAGTATGTGGCACCGTAGATGTGTCTGTGGTGCCATATACTGCATGGCTGAGCTCATCTGGAGGCAGCCCTTGTTTTCTGAATTCTGTTAAACTTCTTTAGTGCTTACAAAGCATTTGACTCCAGGTGATATTTAAAAAAAAATCCTATAAACCAGAAATTTAAAGACTTAGCAATGTGCTACTTCATAGGCAACTAGACTAGGGTCTCACATTCTACCTGTGTCTTCTCCTTCAGCTTCTGGGAATGTTTCTTCAGCTCATTTATTTTTTGACTTTTCGCCTCTAGGTCAGCCTCCAGCTTCTTTACTTGCTGCAACAAAACAGCCTCTTGGGCTTCATTGATTTTCCTTTGCTCCATTTCTCTTTGCTGGCACTGCTTCTGTATATCTGCCACTGATTGCTGCATGGCCTTTTTCAAAGTGTCTTTTTCTTTCTCATAAAAAGCTTGTAATTTACTGGTTTTCTCAGCATATTCTTCAATTATCTTTTGATTCTCACTCTTGAGGTTTTCCATTTCATTAAGTACAACCTGCATCTCCACACGGTGTTTTTCATCTAAACTCTCCTTTGTATCCAAGTTCTCTCTCTCAAATGTTTTGCAGTCATTTACTAGGCTCTCAGACTCCTGGTTTAAATGCTGAAGCTTGTTTTCAAAGTCTGTCTTCATATCTAACATCTCCTTGGAAAGGGAACTGATCAACTCAGGCTGTTTTCCCTCTGTTCTCAGCTGTTTCTTGCACATGATAAATTTTGCTGAGGCTTCTTCCTTTAGCATTTGGTGTTGCCCCAGCATATCTTCCAGGGTCTGAATACGCTTTCGTAGCACCTGTTCTTCTCCTATTTTGCTTTTATACTGGAGGACTGTTTCCTTTGTCTCAGCATGGATGTGCTTAATCTCTTCTTCATGTGCTTCTTTAAGAGCCTGTATGCTGGCCTCATGTTCATCATTTTTAGTGTTCAGGGCATATATCACCTGTAGACCAAAAACAGAAGATTATGGTACATTAGATGATGGTAAAAAGAACCAACACTTGTAGATAAATGCATTTCTAATGTGCTTACCAAAATAATTCTTTATTAGCAAAAAAAAATATGCTGATCCCAGACAGAAAGCCCTATGGGTCTGGGGGAAAAGATGATGCTGTCAGTTGGAAAATACATAGTCTATTTTTGATTCTGCCAGAAGCTTCCTCTGTCGGCTTTGGCAAGTCACAAAATTTTCAGGGGTGCCTGCTACTACCTAATTAAAAAAAACTTGAGGTTAGATTTCCAGATGTGCCCAGTGCAGACAACTCCATCTGATGTTAGTAGAAGCTGTGACTGTTCAGTACCTTAGAAATCAGGACCAGCCGCACATCCAACAGTTAAGAAATACCGTATTTATCTGAATACAAGATAACCCAGAATATATGACGCCCCAATAATTAGATTCTATATATGGAAAATGTATACATTGGCTATAATTTTCCAGGTGTAGAATCTAATTATTGGAGGTTTGTCTTGAATTCATCCCCCTCCTACTGCTACAGCAAGGAAAATAGTGGCTGGAAGGAGGTCAGGTGGCCCCCTTGCCCTCTGCCCCTCCCAACTCCTTTCCCCTGCAGCCTTGTTGCCCCTTCCCTCCCTCCCCCTTACTGTCAGACCCTGCTCAGGCTCTGTTCCCTCCGCAAGCACAATGTGGAAGTGAGTGCATGTAACAGTGGGGGAAGGGAAGAGATAAAGAGGAGGGCAGAAACTGCAGAGGGGAACAGGAGACTGCTGTGGGTCTAGCTCTAGCCCCCAACCCTAACTGCTGCAAATTTCAGCACAGGTACTCCATAAATATACTTCTGAACACCACTTCTGTACCTACTTACACATAGTAAAAGCTAGGCATGATATGAATACAGAGCCAAAAGACTTAAGACTTAACATATAATTCATTGGGCTGGGCCCCAAGAGAGTCAACAGCATTTCAAGCCATGGTGACCCCAAAGTCCAGCACTGCTTGGTTTGTGCATGTACTCCAGACACTCACCATAAAGGAGCCATGTGCTAATGAGCCCTTGACTTGCAACTGGAACCAGGGGTTCTTGTTATAAATTCTGGGACCTTCCAAAAATGTATTTCAGATGAGGCGCAGGGCTGCCTGGTCCGTCTCCACCTCACAGACGGCCCAGCCACACTAATCACATGAACAGGCTGAGAGAGGGGGTGACAGAGCCTCTCAGTTACACAGAAGCTTGGTAATGTTTACAAGACATTTAACGCTTATGAAGAACAGAAATAACTGGAAAAGGCAAGAAAAGCACTGTTCAGCTGTGGGGGTGAAGAGGAAGTCAAAATGTATTTGATGTAGTGGTTCACAAGACTGAAAAAGAGTTGGTGCTGAGGGAGACTAAGTACTGTGGGCACTTAAATTTATTCAGATGGGCTATATGTAACTTAGCCTTGTGGTAGGTTCCCATTAGTGTGTTTGCCCAATATGGACCATGTGTTTTATGGGCATACTCAGCATCTGCTATATTCAATCAGCTTCATAGTTGGTTTCCATGACTAAGCACATCCTGCTTCTAGCACCAGTTTAATGATAGCAAATTTATTTAATAGGATGGTTTGCTGATACGCAAAGCTACAACAAAGGGCTTTCTTCCCATGCTGAATGGAGGGCAAACCTCGTCTTATATTTGAGTAAATATGATACATGGACAATTCTAAAATGAAAGGCCTTACATTTTCTGAAAATGTGTTTTCCTTATCTGTAAAATGGGAAGTAACAGTTCTGACCTCCAGGTGCATGGTGATGCTTCACTCAATATTTATAAAGTACTCTAAGATCCTCATGTGGGAATTGCTACATCAATACAAAATATATTTTAAAACGCTCATTAAAATGCTGCAGTAATTTGGGATGAAGAACAGCAATTTTTTTGCTCTGAGCTTGTACATTTCCATAAGAAGTCTGCAGGTCTGGTTTTAATGACTACAAAATATTCAGTATTCTCTCTGAAAGGATACTTAGGCCCAAATCATGTTCCTACTGAAGTTAAGTTTCTTCATTGACTTTGTGGGAACAGAATAAGAACCTTAAAATGTAACTGGCTCCTATAAATGTTTTTTCCTTCTTTTTTCTGTGCCATGCTCTGATGCATATCAAGACTTCTAATAAAAATATCTACCCCTGTAAGTGCCAGGCAGACTGCTTAGCACATTCATAATATCTTGCGATGCTCTGAATCATCCTGTTGTATCTAAAATGTATACAACAAGCAGATTCACCTTAATTACTGGTAAAGGACACATGCAAGGATTGAATTGGAAGATTTTTTTAGGGCCAAACCACTGCTGGTGCCCCTTGCTCCCCCACCCACAGCCCCCCTGAGCCCCAGCCCTGCTGGAGGGTCCCCAGCTGCCAGAGCTATGGGGCCAGGGACCTGGGTCCACAGTCCCCTTTCGCCAGCAGGAGGCAGCAGCTGCTGCAGTGGAGCTGAGCCCAGCTCCCCACCTGCTACTGCCCACTGCACGCTTGGGCAAGGGGGTGGGGCCAGCTCCCCACCATGGCATGCACTTCTGGAGGGGCATGTGGGAACCCGTGCCCCCCAGATCTGTGCGGGGTGGGGTGGGCAATGAGGGCAGCAGCGTGAAGTTGTGCCTCTCAAAACTACTGTGTGCTGGGAGCCTGTCCCCCAGCCCCCAGATGAGCTGCCCATGGCCCTGTCCCACTCCCCGCTGGGGCCCCAGCCCTGTCCAACTCCCTCCCTCCTTGCAGGAGCTCAATTTGCCCCCTCCCGCACTAACCTGTGGGAGCTGCTCTCCAGGCTGCCTGGGGCCATGTGCACGAACAATACATACACATGGCACCTCTGCCTGACCACCCTCCTCCAGCTCCCTCCCAGGCCCCTGCAGGCTGGAACTCTGCCAGCCTGCAGAGGGCTCCTCACAAAACTACAATGTACACCATTGAACACCTTCAAGAGCAAACTGGATGCTTATCTTGCTGGGATCCTATGACACCAGCTGACTTCCTGCCCTTTGGGCAGGGGGCTGGACTCGATGATCTTCTGAGGTCCCTTCCAGCCCTAATGTCTACGAAATCTATGAAATCTATGAAAACTGCAAAATCCTCGGGCTTCTCCAATAAAACGATTCCAAAAACCAAAAGTTGTGAATCTAATGTAAGTGATTTTTACATGTAATAATATACAAATGGTTTTGCTTTTCCCATATTGATTCAAATAAGGGGCTGATTCTATTAACCACCAATTCTATAAAGCAGAATCCACTGTATAAAATCAATACTGAGCTGTGCTAGTACCAACATATGCAAGCGAAAAAGAGATGGTTATTTATCACCCTAAGCCTTCCTGCTAAAAGCCAATGATACACTCTCTGCTCGTAGGCAATATCTATGTTAGTCAGGTAGTGTCTCTGGCTGTAATTCTTTTAATGGATTTTTCTGCTTTCATTCTGTTAATTAGAATTCATTCCTCTCTCCTGCT